GTACATCAAAATCACTGCTATTCTATGTTCTACGATTTAATGATTTTGTTTATTTTCTTATTGAGTGTCTTAAGTATATTTTACAAAATACTAAATGCTTACTGTCAAAGGGGGCACAAGACAATACTTTTTTAAATTATGTGTTTCAAATTATGTATTTCCTTATATTGTTGTCAGGCGACATAGAGACAAATCTGGGACCATCTCAAAGTACCCAATCCACACTGGACATTTTTCATTTAAATGTAAGAAGTATTAGAAACAAGTTTGATAAGTTTCTGAGTATTGTGTCAGATTTCGATATTTTATGTTTCACACAAACCCATCTTGATGCTACCATTTTAAACGAAGACATTCCTATTGATGGATTTAGCTCAATTTTTCGTAAAGATATAAACTCACATGGGGGCGGTGTAATAATATATGCATCTGACTGCTTGCGCACTATTAGACGCCCTAATCTTGAACCTTTGAATCTAGAATGTATGTGGGGAACCACTTGCTGTTAGACGAATGTCCAAAGTAAGAACAACTATGTATAAAATATTTCATAAAATGGTACCCGAGTATTTGAAAGAAATATTTCCAAACATTCGATCAGAAGAATCAAATTACGTAACAAGACAATCACAAAATTACTGTATCCCTAAGTGTAGATCAAATATTTATAAATCATCATTTGTTCCAATTACAATAAGGGAATGGAATTCTTTATCTCTTGAAACAAGACAATCCAATACAATCGGTTCCTTCAAAAATTGTGTAAACTCTCAGGAAACACCTACCCCAACCTTTTTTCCTTTTGGTGATCGTTATTGGAGTGCAATTCATACTAGATTAAGACACAACTGTGTTCTAAATAAAGACTTATTTAGGTGTAATATTATAAACAGTCCACTATGCACTTGTGGAAAAATAGAAGACGCATATCATTTCTTTTTTTCTTGTGCGAATTACACTTCCCCAAGAAACGACTTGTTCAAATGCTATTTTTAGAATGATAAATTTACGTATTGTAAACACTCTTGTTCTATTATGGGGAGATAATTCGATCAGTATTTCTGAAAATGAAAGTATATTTTTAAATGTGCAATTATTTATCAAGAGATCTGGTCGTTTTTGAGTAATGTATTTAGATTGTCTGTCCATACTATTGTAACGGGCGGTTGCCCAATAGTCCCAGAATTAATGAACAGGAATCGATTTCAGTTTTAAGCGTTTATTAATTACAACAATAAAACATCCATAACAATGATAACAATGCTTACAGGTCAAATATAGACCGCTCTCTCCTCTAAACACGTCCACTCTCTTCAATATAAAAATCAGCACTCCTCAAAATTACAACGGTCGTCAGTAATAATACCGTCGGGCTAACCCGGGCCGGGACGTAATGTGACGTCATACTCATAACATAAAAATGACGTTTAGCGCACAATCAATAGAACAATAATTATTACGCTAACAAAATAGCAATAGGTATATTTTATACATAATAAACATAGATTTATGCTAATTTAATATCAGTCAATGTACACAACTAATAATCAATTACTGGAATATTAATTAATACATATTCAATAAAGATATCAACCGTCACACTCCCCCCTTCCCAAGACCTAATGTACCATGTACATTAGTCTAAATTACTAGTATTAGTTCGAATATTCAATGGACATTTAATGAAAAACTTGACAAGTATTAATGCTACACATAAAAGCATAATTAAGGATACTGACATGTCATAATGAGCAATAAGACATATACATATCTCATAGTATATAATAAATACTAGTAGTTAAGTTATAAAAATGTTAAAGCAAACAGTAACCACAGGATGAAAAGCCAGGTTTCCCAAATTTGGAAACCCGATGGAAACATATGGGAATCGTGACATCAGTAGTTTCCATATAGTTTCCATTTTATGGAAACCACATAGTGGTTTCCACATAGATTCCCGACATGGAAACAATCAACCTGTGGTTTCCCGTAAGTTTCCCAAGATAGGAACCATGGAAACATACCCCGGTGGTTTCCACATAGATTCCCGACATGGAAACAATCAACCTGTGGTTTCCCGTAAGTTTCCCAAGATAGGAAACCATGGAAACATGCCCCGGTGGTTTCCATGTAGATTCCCGATATGGAAACAACCAACCTGTGGTTTCCCGTAAGTTTCCCAAGATAGGAAACCATGTAAACATGCCTCAGTGGTTTCCATACAGATTCCCGACATGGAAGCCACCAATGTGTAGTTTTCCCCATGTTTCCCAGGCAGGGAAACTTTGAAAGTATCTCTCAATACTAACCCACCTACCTTTTATTTTACAAAAAGTTAAATATTTAATTATGTTACCATATTCTTACCAATTATAGAAATATTTCAAAAGTGTTTACATGCTGTATCAAAATAATTAACTTCAAACAATTAAAATAACTAGATGTGTATTTCTGTGTGATTAATTTAATATTTCAGCACCGTGAACGCAATTCAATTTTAATTTAATTTTATTTAACTGAATTTTATTTAATTTAATTTAATTTTGAATTTGATTTATCACATAAGTTTTGGTAAACTCGTATATAATGCGTGAAGTGGAATAGAAAAAAGTAAGTGCATGCAGTTATGTAGAAATCAATCATTTCCGATCCCACTTTCTTGAAGCTGTCTATGATGAATGTTCCTTTGAAAAAATGGAAGAGCTAAGGAAGGGTACATTTAATGAAATTATTTATAGAAAAGGTTTACTAAAAAGATCGATTAAAAAGTAAATAAAGAAATATGTCAAGTTACGATTACTGATTAAGGACAGGTGAGACGTTCCTCAATAAAATAATTATTTTTTTTTCCAATATTTTGCTATTGACATTGAAGAATTGTTTTTACATAATTACATGTATTCACAAGACATCAAGGTACCTTACCAGGCATTTGTGTTAGATACCAGAGGTTGGCATTTCTTATATACCGGGGTAATCCGTCAGGAAAAAAATACTTCAGTTGGTTTGTCAAAATTACATTCTTAGTGTTTCAAGTTTTTAAATACAAGTTTAGAAAGTGATAAAGATTTTGTTTTAATATGAATTAATATATTAATATAAACTGGTCAGATAAGAATCATTCATCGAATTGGCTTGGGGCTGAGTATTATCATACTAGTATTTTACTATTAATAGTGAATATTATTTTTATTAATGGGGGTGGGTGGGTTGCTTTTCATTTTTTCCCTGAGAAGCCCCCCCCCCCCCCCCCCCCCAAAAAAAAACGCTTTTGAAAAAGTCACTATGGTCGGCCTGTGTAATTAGGGATACCTGTCCTCACGTGCCATTTCAGGTGGAGACACGTGCCTCGAAGACACCTGTCACTGTGTATTTTTTGTATATTCTATGTGAATTGAGACGGTTTTGTACCTAAAGGGAACATTGGGCTGTTGTCGAGCATGTACACACACAGTCTCCGACCGAAATTTCTTTTAAATTAAGATGATGATTCATGTTTCTTTTATCATTTAAAAAATTGTATATTCCATAAATAAAGTTACACAAGAGAACATATTTATAAAATAACCTACATTTAAGAAGTTCAATGAAAGAACAAACTATTTAGAATTTTTATTTCAATTTTCATTACTGATTTAAAATAAAACTATCCTCTTTAGAAATTAAATAATTTTCTATAGGTATTGAATAGATCTTAATTGTCCTCGTGTATAATTATATTAAATCAGAATGACGTTAATAGATCAATGTGAAATCAAAACTGTATTTAATATTGTTGATAGGTTTTTGTGTGAAATTTGTAATCTAACGTACTACAAAGGATTTATTAGATAAATGTTTATAATATAATTCATCACATAAACTTTTTCCCCCTTTTTTTGTTTAAATATGTACGCAGATCCCCGTGTAGTAAACGCCTGCACTTTTCGCATGAAATTACAATGTAGGGTCCTAATTAATGCACATACATTATATTTAAGAAACTTTAAAATTTTCAGCCATTTTTTTTTCTCCAAAGGCCATTGCTCTAGATAAAGAAAAGTCTATAATATTTTGCATGATTTTGTTTTTCTTAAGAACAATGGCTTTTAAAGTAGTGCATGCTAAGGCAATCTATTAAAAGAATTAATTGTATAATTAATTCATTGTACAATTGTCACGATTGTATTTTTGTGCAGTTTTTGTTGATTTCATTCTATAAAGGTATGAAGTTTGTCAATACTTCAACAAACATTTCTTTATCTATGTTGTACACTACTTTATTTTTATTCGCCGACATGCTACTCTTTTTTAAAAAAAATAGACTCGATCCTCAGGCCTGTAGGAATGTAATTTCCGTTAGAGTAGTAAACTAACCGGGATTTTATTTTTACTAGCATACCTTACCAGATTTCTTAACGAAAAAAAAAACATTAAAAGAAATACAGGGCAGCTAAAGCTGTATGCATAAGTACAGCCCTGCACATCAACGAGTATAGATGACTTTCGACATAATCTTTCCCATGACTTCACTTATACCAATCACGACTAAAATACTGAATTAAAATACTGTTATATTTTCCTGCCTTTGATTAGATGTTAGTTTTGTTCCACCTATAGAGATATAACTCACCTAAGAAAAAGGTTTTCAACATTCTGATTCATTTAACAATTTTACGTGATAAAATGATGTGGGAAATTTTTTTAGCTAAAGGCCAAGGAGTTTAAAGTACAATGTACATGTAGCAATTAGAGAAAAGTCTACCAGGTGCACCAGTAATATTGATAGCAGGCTCAAAATCTAATTAAACCCCGAAAAGGAGGGAGTTCAATTAGTAATTTAACCCCCCCCCCAAAAAAAAAAAAACCAAAAAAACAACACAACAATTTATTAGCAATGAATTATTAATCACCGAACTTTTCAATCATCACTACTGAAATTAAAAAAAACTGTTCTTGATAATCATATTATAATTGTAGCTCATTTTCATGCCTTTTAGGATTCCTGTGGAAAGTTCACAATAAAAAAAAATGTGCTTTTAAACATTTAACATCTTTTGGTGTGACATTATAAATTCATAATCATACATGTAACAGTTAAAATAAGCGGGGAGAGGGGGGGTTACTTTCAGCAAGGACGGCCACTACCAACAACCAAGCCCCGAAACCCATATCCCGAAGGCAAATAAGTTGAGGTGTCAAGCAAGAAACAATTTTTTTTCTGCTCTTGCCTCATGTATTTAACCCCTTTTTTTCTAAATATACTAGGCCTACACATCATATCGGCAAAAATATTTAGGAGCCCCTCTTTTTATTCCATGAAAAGGGGAAAACTTAATTAAATTCTAATATAAGATCTCATAATCACACTTAATCATAGTGAATGTAAACAGTTTATATTTCCCATCCTGCATCGCTCTGTAGGCGCTTTATTTCATTGGTCAATTTCCCGAGGCGCCATTTTTGGAGGATCGAGAAGGACGAAGAAGAAGGTGTAAGCAGCTGGTAAATGTGAAAAGTTAAGATGGTTTCACCACCCAGTGTCTTTAAGACTGTGATAATTGCAATGGCCAACGATGAAGGATTAGTGTACGTATATTTTTGTTAACTTTTTACGGTAAATAGTTGTAATATTTGGCAACAACAAATCTTCACCATCGGAGGCAACTTTTGTTCTGACGCCATTTTGAAAACTTGGATACCTAAGTTTTAAATTGTTAAGTGTATATATTGCAGAGAGAAAGAGAGAGAGAGAGAGAGAGAAATTTGAGACAGTGATATAGCATAACTTAGATTATGGAGGCCCCAAAGGCACCGTGCATGTGCATGCTGTATGTTGTAAAATGGCAACGTTTCGCCTTTTATTATGTTTATTAAAATGTATGCTCCATATGTATGTTCCCTCTCTATATATAAATGAATACATTTCGGAAATATTTTTAACCCCGCTCAAATTATCCGGATGATAATAGTTACACCGAGCATGGTTTCGTAGTTAAATTCAGACTGCAGAACATCCGGTTTGAATACATGTGTTTTCTGACTTTTCGGTTTTGGAACTTACGACTTATGGCAAGGTATAAATTAAATATTTTTGGTTCAAAACTTTGATGAAAGCATCGATATTTTTACAAAAAGTGTCTTCAATCTCAGCTTATCCGATTATTCATGAAGGATATCCTCATCAGAACAGTTGGAATAGATTGTAGCGAATAGCATAACCCTTAATCATATGCATGACGATGATATGGAGGGAAAATATACATAAAAAAGTGAATGTAGGTGAAAGCCTGTCCACTTTTCTGAAAAGATTAGGTTTGTTTTATTGTTTATTGAAGTAGTTTACTGCTCAAAAGATTTTTTTGTAATGTCTAACCTGTTGAGATGAAGATGTAAAAGAAGAAAAGCCTAATAGTGAATTAATATTGATAGTATGTCAAGAAATGCAAATGAATCATCAGCTTGAATTATCAGTTTTTTCACAATTATTGACCTGAGTAGGTCAATGTATAGCGAATAATACATACTCTTTTCCACATCACATCCTAGCCCTAGACACCAATATCAGCCAGAGGGACAGAGGCCCTAGGGCTGATATTGGTCGAAGGTCTGATACAGGATGTGATGTGGAAAAGGGTATGTTTCATTATGTTTATTACAAACTTGGTAATAAAATACAGAACACTTCAAGTTGAGAAGATCAAGAAAATAAGTAAATAACCATGCACAATAAAACTACTTACATACATGCATGTACACGGTATTGTCTTACTGAACAGATTTAGCTGTCATTAGGTCAAAATTGGAAATAATAACATGCTTCTTATATCTGTATATATAGGTAACTCTTGATGGCTTGAACTTCGATTTCTCGGAAGCTCTTGATCGCTTGAAGTGAGTCTCTGGTCCCGATTTTTTCCACTATATAACTAAGCAGATTCGCTCTTGATTTCTCGAACTCCTGATCTCTCGAAACCCTTGATCCCTCGAAGTCAAAATGCAGTCCCGCTGTGCTGTGAATTTTACCCTTGATACCTCGTAGTGGCTGTGTGTATACCAAGTTATAATGTTCAAACTTTTGCCATATCTGTATATCTGTGTGTCTGTCTGTGTGTCTGTTGTCAACTTAAACCTTCATCATAACTTTAGAACTATATGAGATAGTGGCTTCATATTTAGTATGCATACTCCACTAATGAAGTACTTTCAAATGGCAACAAGGACAATGATTATGTGATCTTGACTGTGACCTGTATGCTAAAAAAATTGCTTTTTCGAACTTTGTTGCTGTGTTTCACAAGCTCATCTTGTTTTTATGTGATAGTAATGCATCCGGCGTCCGTCCGTCTGTCTGCAAACACTACTCCTCCTTAAATTTTAGTCTGATTTCAATATAACTTGGCACACAAGTAGACTATACTAAGATACATAATTCTGTGCATCAGTTTTTGATAAGTACAAACCAGTAGAGCTACAGTCTCGACAGAGACTTCTGGTTATTTTTTCTTCCATCCCGGTTGTTGCTAATGCTATTACATAATTAGTTTAAATTAGAATGCAATAGTACCTGGACATAATTTATCATTTCAGAGAGAAGAAAACTGTGTGACTTTAAAAGAAAACCAGTGAGATAAAATCATAGAAAATGTATGATGATTCAGGATGTGGTCATTTGGTAAGTGGTAATTCATTCATGATTCGTATGTATATGACAATTGCCTGAAAAAAATAAAGATTCTAAATTTTATTTAAATACTGAACTATGGTATATCAGCTGTGAGCTACAAGAAGTTTTATGTAAAAGCTAGGGCTGAAACAATTTGCCCCCTCCATGTTATGTGTGTATTGCTATGACTGACATACAGTCAGTTCTATAATAGTATACATACACTTCAATAAAACTTTGTCATCTCGAACCTGAATTGAACAGGAAAAAACTCTGAGATCTCTCCAAAAATTTGAATGAAAAAAAGGAAATGCTTATTAACTGATTTCTTGCTGGTCAGTATTTTGATTACTTAAAGGAAGCTCTAAAAACTGCACACTAAAGAGTTCTACTTTAATATCAGGTAGTTTTATGAAGTTAGAGTGATCTGCCCATAGATTAAGATTTTGAAAAATGTTATTTTACAGTCAGTTAGATTATTTTTAATAGATTAAATTATTTTTAGCATTATTTTCATAAATTTTTCCAATGTAAGTAAACAGCAATGATTTCTGCTTACAGATAGTCCATTGTCTTTGAAAATTTCTTGGGGAAATGAGGCACATACCATATGTTCTAAATGAATAAAAATAAGACTCATTATGCACATATTTATATGAAATATGATAGATTTTTTTCTCTCCAAGGAATAATTTCTGCAAGTCACTAAGTTTTTAGAGTTTCTTTTATTTTATAGATATTCAATGAAATTATTTGAAGTATTAAATTTTGGTAAATTTTATGATACTAAAAGGTTATATGGATGAAAAAACAGGATGCGTGTATGACAATAGGGCTTAAATTTTTAATGTCTCTTAATTTTTCAGTGACATTAAAACAGGAATTGTCATCACCAATAGACGAATTTCACATTCCTAAGAGTTTTCTCCAATTGTCGGCGTATCGCTCATTTTCCCCACTTTGTCCTTTGTAAGTTACTTGTTAATATTTTCAATCTTCAGAAATATTGGACAATTACGATCTGTATCTGTCAGTTAGATTTTATTGTTTTATTTTTGCCAGAGTATGGGGGCAACATGAAAATCATAATGAATATGTTCATACAGATTTTATTTCTAAGATATTGTCCCTCAAAGTTGATACGGTTAAAGAGGGAAAACAGCGTCTTAAGCCGGTTGACCCCAGATCGACCCTGCGAAGGGGAATAACTTTTGTAAATGTGAAAGTCCTTTATGGTATATCATATAGATCTAAAACTGACTGAATTTTGATCAGCCAATTCATGAATATGATGAATGGATGTAAATAATGTTGGTCAATATATGTAAAAAAAAAAAAATTAAATTACTTGTTTATATATACATTTGTGGTATCTCTCCCATTGAAGTTTATAAACTTGTTATTTATTTCTTAAATAAACTGAGCGCACATGCAATACCGGTATAAAATTACTCATAAGATACATGTATACTTAAACCATGATAAAATCTTATGTGTCCAATGCAGCATATGATAAATCATTAACATACAAGTACATGTGTATATATACTGTAATACATATATATTGCATTATTTTTAGGTCCTGTTCTGTGCATGCCCTAAGACAGTGTCTACCCATCACTCCATCTGATATCACTTGTTCTGTGCATATTTCTCTCTCAAACTTAAACTACAGAGAGCCTGTGGATAGAGGATGAAGAGTGACCTTGGACTAATTTTCTAGGTCAAAGGTCAGTATCAAAATCTACTGTATATCTTTATTTAAAATCGTAGTCCAGAGTATATTTCTCCCCTGGTGTAATCTAGCTTTTGTGCAATGGGGTGGAGGGTCTGCAATGATCTTCAACCAATTTCTAGGTCAAATATCAAAATAAAAAAAAATCTCTCCCTAATATTTTTGTTATTATAAAGAGTATGTTTTCTCTCAAACTAATCAAACTTAAAGCAGGGTTCTTAGTATGAGATACATGTAGTAATATATTCTCAATGACATAATAAGGCTGAAAACAATTTATATTATGTTATTTTTTTTCACTTATCATAAAGCATTAAATATTAAAGAGATACATTAAATGCTTAAATCATATGTATCATGGTCATGGAAAGTAATTATTGATATTGGTATATTAAAGGACATTGACTGATCTTTCAGATTTCTAAGTTATATTCAAGAGAGTAACTTAGAAAAATAATAGCATGAGATCTTCATAAGTATGGCCTTAGACTTGAGTAACCCTTATGTTACGACCCCCAGTAGAATTAGAGAATACTGACAAAGAATTTTATTCTATTTTTTGAATAAGCATTATAATTCTGACATCATATAATAATTTTGTATGAATATTGCAGATCATAGGTGATGTGAAGAAAACCAGGAAACTGATGTTGAAAGAAGTACTTAATGACCCTTATGAATGGACTTAAATGTGAAAGACTGTTCCATTGTTTATCTAAGATATATGAATTTATTTAATATTTTGATATCATTGTAAAATTCAGTTACAGTTTTTGTACATCAAATGAATTATTAAACATATAAAATGGTAATGCTTTTTTCTTTTACATGTAATAAATTTTTTAGATAGATTTTTAAAAGAATACGCATTATTTCACATTGCTTCCTTTAGAAAAGTTAGGGAATCTTGAAGTTTCCCAGTAATTTCCACCAGGAATGGGACTCCAGATAATTCCACCAAGTTTCCGCCACACAGAAAGTGCTACACAAGTTCCATATAGTTTCTGAGTCAAGGAAACTTCAGTAATCATAAGGTTTCACGAGCTTCCATGTAGTTTCTCATAAAAGAAAACCTTAAGATTCCATCAAGCTTCCATTCCACGGAAACCACTACGCTCATATTCCATATGGTTTCCTGAGTCTAGGAGTCGAGGAAACTTTAGGAATCGTGAGGTTTCCAGAGCTTCCATGTAGTTTCCCGTATAAGGAAACCTTAAGATTCCATCAAGTTTCCATTCCACGGAAACCACTACGCTCCGATTCCATATGGTTTCCTGAGTCAAGGAAACTTTAGGAATCGTGAGGTTTCCCGAGCTTCCATGTAGTTTCCCGTAAAAGGAAACCTAAAGATTCCACCAAGTTTCAATTCCACGGAAACCCCCTACGCTCCGATTCCATCAAGTTTCCTGATTCTGGAAACCAGTGGAATCTTCAGGTTTCCCATTACGGGAAACTACATGGATGTTCGGGAAACTTCAGGTTTACAGAGGTTTCCGTGGTTCGGGATACCTTATGGAATCGGAGCGTAGGGGGTTTCCGTGTCACGGAAACTTGGCGGAATAACCTAGCATCCGCTACGGAAACCACTGGGAAACATGATGTAAACTTGAGGTTTCCATGTGGTTTCCATAAAGTTTCCCATGATGGGAAGCCACTTTTTTCACCTAGTGAACAATATGAAACTGATTCAAGTTCATAATTTAAAGTTAACAATATGAATTACACTTATAATACTAATGTTTCACTGTTTACTGTTCTGGAAAAAGTTCCTCGCGCTCCAGGAGTTCCGATATCTTTCTCTTCAGTGCGCGGTTCTCGCTTTCCAGTTCTCGGAGGGACGATCCTGGTTTTTGAAGTTGTTCTAAGCGCTCCTTCGTCACCAAACGCACACGGGCGATCCTATCTATCTGGCTACCCAGTTTAACGATATACATTTGAAGCGAGTCCTCAGTGGAAGGTATGGGAGGGATATAAAAATCATCATCACAATACGAAAGAGTTTGTGTAGATCTGGACTGGGGTTTCTTTAAATAATCGGCAACGGAGATTTTCTTGAAGTCAGTCTGCGTCGCTACTGTTGCAGGTTCCATCGAAGAAAGAAGAGGTTCCACCATCGAGCAAGAAGACGACTCCACCAACGAACAAGATAACGGTGTCAACGACGAAGACGACTGTGCCAACGAAGAAGATGGTTCCAACGACGAAGAGGACGGTGCCAGCGCCAAAGAAGACGGTTCCAACGACGAAGAAGATGGTTCCAACGACGAAGAGGACGGTGCCAACGCCAAAGACAAATCCAACGAAGAGGACGGCTCAGTCACCGGGGGAGGAATCACCACAGTTCCGGGAGCAACGTTCGCCATCGAGGGGAATCCAAGTTCTGCTGTGGAGGAAGAAACGCCGGCTGTCTGGGAAGTCTGGGCACGACGGAAGTTATATTTCAACAGTCCAGGGTCGATATAATTCGTGGCCCTAACCATCTGGCTGGTTGCCTTGGCAATAGTGGCCTCAAGGATGGAAGGATTAGTCTGCTTATGTATGAATTTCAGGTGACTCTTCATGTCTGATTTTCTTCTGACCAGTGCATGGCATCCTTGGTGAGGGCACGCCCACTTCTGAACCTCCCGAACGTGACACTCTTCCCAATGGCGCTGGAATTTCGCCCTCGATGGGAATGTCCCTTGAAAATTGCAATCTGCAATGGGGCACTGCATATTGGCAACATAGCCAAACTCCTGGATGTCTAATTCAAAGACGGACTCTTCGAAGTTAAAATCATCCTCAGCCATGAGGTCTAGAACATCCACTTGTGGGTCAATGTCCATGATGAAACTTGACAAAAATCCTAAGAAATAATAACATACTTTTAAATTCATAAACACGACAAAAACCGAACTTTATACCTGGTATTCCTGAACAAGACCTTTCTCTAGTCTAATGTTCAAGTGGATACATTTCACTAAGTTTCTCACAACGTACAAAATCGTGCATCACTCAATCACTCATCCAATATCAACAATTGCTTACATGTACAAATACAGTCGATACACAACCGAAAGCAGTAGCCCATGGTTTCAAATTACATATGTATGCATGTATTACGTACAGTAATTTCTACTATAACCCATTTCATATGAGTATAAAAACAATATTTATTTAGGACAATCTATGTCAACGAGTTCAACTTTTCATTCATGGATCTATGTTCATGGACTTATGTAAATGAATAACTGTTACTCTCTTAATTCTTACGATGGACTCTACAACACCAACAACAAAGACTAATTGTTAATTAAATATGAATATATATATTTATTTTAATCCAGTGTATTATAGTTATGGACTATAAATAACTTTAGACTTGAGGCGTCTGCCCCTTCTACTGAATCGTGGTGATTCTGGTCTTGGTTCAACCCTTTCATCACTTTCCTCCTCAGACTCATTGCTATCCTCAGCAATTGCAAAATTGTCCTCTAAGTTAAATTCCACCCCCTGTCCCTCATCTGACTCTAATTTCTCTTTAAGTAACTTTAAATGGTCTACGTGTACTATTTTTAATTTTCCATCACTACATCTTTTTACTTCATAAGTTATGTCTGATAACTTCTGGACAATTTCGTAGGGCCCTGTCCACCCTAATCCAAGTTTTTGATTTGCTTCCGGTGGATACCAACGTAGTACTTATGTTTTTGGTTCAAATGACCTTATCTTTTATTTAGTATCGTAATAATGCTTTTGTTTCTGAAAACTACTATGAATTTTCATGTGCATAGTCTAATGCGTTTTGCATTGCTTCTTTAAACCATTCGACGTATTTTATTGGACATTCTACAGGAGCGTCATTAGGGTGAGTCGGTGACCCTGTGATAAGGTCTATATATAGGGAGTGAAGTCTCCCTTCCTAGCATTAAGAGGTTTGGGGTACATTTAGTACTTTCTTGTACTGAAGCGCGATAGGCCATTGTTAAAAATTGTAAATGTTCATCCCAGTCGTCTTTGTAATCGTTAACAAACATCGCTAACATTTGTTGCAAAGTTCTGTTGAAGCGTTCTATCATCCCGTCTGATTGGGGATGGAAGGGCGTTGTCCTAGATTTTTCTATTTCAAAAATATCACACATTCGTTTGGAAAGATTTGACTCGAATTCGCGCCCTTGATCTGTATGAATTCTTAGAGGCGAACCATATCGGCATATAAATTCACAAATTAACTTGTCAGCGACCGTCTGTGCAGTGTGGTCTGACAGAGGATAGGCCTCTGTCCACTTTGAAAAATAGTCCCCGACTACCATAATATATTGATTGCCTTTGTCTGTTATAGGAAGAGGACCCATTATGTCTACTGCGACGCACTGTAGGGGTCGATATACTGGCTCGCGTTTCATGGGCGATTTGCCCAACCCTGGACCGGGTTTTCTACGCTGACACGGAAGGCAGGTCTGACACCAGCGAGATACATCGCTTGTCATCCCTGGCCAGTAGTACCTAGCCCTAACTTTACCCAAGGTCTTTTCTCGACCTAAATGTCCAGCTGACTTTGTATTGTGTAAATGGTTCAAAATTTCGGTTCTAAGAACTCGAGGCACAACTGTTTGTAAATATGTCAAACCATTTTCGTTTTTCCACATTCGATATAAGATTTCATTTTCAACTTTCAATAACTGTCGCTCTCGTATTAGAGCTGTCATTTCCATACTAGTACTCTTAAGTTTAGATATATCTTCGCCATTCTTCATCTTTGTTTGAACTATTTTTCAAATCTACGGAACTGACAATCGTAGAGCTAACTTGCTCTTTTCCACATTGGTCACACTCAGCGCGTAAACATCTGCGTCGTGGTCTACGCGATAACGCATCAGCATTACCATGCGATACTCCTTTGCGGTGTTCGATATGAAAATCGTAAGTATCGAGTAAGGAGAGCCATCTCGCTACGATTCCTTCCGGTTCTTTGAAGTTTTTGAGCCAAATTAAAGATGAATGATCTGTCCGGATTAGAAAGTTCTTACCACTCAGATAATATCTAAAATGTTTCACAAATGAAACTACAGCTAGTAATTCTCGGTATGTTGTGCAATAACTCCGCTGAGAACGAGAAAGAGTCTTGCTAGCATAAGCGATGACTCGCTCCTCGCCATCTTGAATTTGCGACAAGACCGCACCGATGCCGGAATTACTGCGTCTGTGTCTAGCACAAATTGACCGAAACGTGTGGGGTAAGACAAGATGGGTGCGGAAATTAAAGCTTCTTTTAGCTTTTGAAATGCTTCGTCGCATTCATCGGTCCAGGAAAATTTTCTGTTTTTCTGAGTAAGTTGCGTTAATGGAAAGGCTATTGTTGAAAAATTTTGAATAAATTTTCTATAGTATGACGCAAGACCCAGAAAACTTCGAACATCGGTCACTGATTCAGGATTCGGCCAGTCGTTGACTGCCTTGATTTTCTCTTCATCGCATTTTATTCCGTCGACTGACACAATGTGTCCTAAATATCGAACTTCATCTTGGAAAAACGTACACTTATGGGGTTTTAGTTTTAATTTAGCACTTTTAAATTTTGAAACTAGTTTCAAATTGTCTAAAGTTTCCGTAAATGTTTTACCAAAGACAATCACGTCGTCAAGATAAACGAGACAACGTTCCCATTGCAACCCGTTTAGAACAAGTTCCATAAGTCGTTCGAATGTCTTAGGACTGTTGGCCAATCCGAAGGGCATTACGCGAAATTGGTACAGCCCACGGTGAGTCGCGAAAGCCGTTTTAGGCTTATCCTCCT